TTAACTTAGCTTGTCCTTATGCTTTGGCGGGTCATCCAGTAAACTTTCACATACTGTATGCAGCTCATTCCGCAAATTTATTTGTCATAGCACACCATGTACCAAACTCAGTTCAAGATTCCGCAGTCTGGTCCCTGATACAAAACAAGACGTTTGCTGGAACGCCGCTGCAGACATGCCATGTGAGGAAGGAGGAGGAAAGTCCTGAGGTGACAGGACAGGGAGCTGGCATGTGGATTTTCCCCTCATTTTAACCAGTAGTGAACCGAGAAATGTGAAAAAAAAAAAAAAAAATTGAGTGCTGTGTTTATGCAAAGGCTTGCTGAAACTGTTTCAGAGAAGTCAGTGCTGACATCAGAGCTTGGGTCACCTTAAAAGAATTTCAGGGAGACTAAGAGCTACTTACTTCTTACCACCACACAAGATAAGTTTCAATGTTTGAACAGTCAATATTAAATAACTTTTTCAGAACAGTTTTAAGCTAGTGAATTGCATTTGTGTAAATGAATTTGTACATCTGTTTAAAGTGACAACATCAGTGGTGGTGAAGGCTTTACCTAAAATAATATATGGACTCAAAAGAGGTAATATCTTTCTGTTACGAAGAAGATCTAATGCTCTGTAACTTGCAAAATAAAATCAAAATCTTTGCAATAGTTCCTAGTAGTCGTTATAGTAAAGGAAGGAGCAACAGGAAGGGCTCTTCTCTTTTCTTAGCAGCATGAAATTGAAACCAGTTTTTCTGCCTTTTATGTTTATTTTCTTATCTGCTAGAAAGTGTACCCATAGTTGTTCTTTTATTAACTAAGGAGTTACTGGAGAACAGAAAAACACCTCCATGAGTCCATAGTAGTTAACTAAAAATTCATGTTATCACCATCACTTTCACAAGTGGTAAAATGAAGCAGTAGACAGGTCAAGTCATTGCTGTTGCTGTTGGATGGTGTTTGTGTGCTGAACAAGCTAATCGGAGGTGAGTGCTGCCAAATGATTACTGTTGGATGGCAAGATTTCAGATACCACATGAAATTTGGAATGTCTCTGAAGTGACATCTGAAAGTGGGACCCTTATGTGAGATCTTTTTTTCTTACTTTCTTGCTTTTTATGTGTTGTTTGAATGTTGGGGTTTTTGTCCGTGATGGGTTTATGGGTCCTGTCCATCTGTGATCAATTAGGACTTAAAACTGACCTCTGAGAAACTGCAAGTTAGGTTTTCATTCACTAGAGGTGTGCAGGGAGGGTAGCTTTGTTTAGCTAAGTCACATTTAAAAGCTTCAAGGTCATACCAAATCCGCATCTTCAGAGTCATGTAATCCGGAAACTTGAAGTCTGTGAAGTCATGATGTGGTACCAAAATATGCTTTGAACAGGGATAAAGGAAACCAAAGGTGAAAGACAGCAGCAGTGCAGGACACCTGAAATTGTCTGACTCAGGTGACAGCCACAGATTGTGAAAACCCAATTTATCTTTCAGTCCCAGCACCTTACTGCAGCAGAGGCTCTGTATATTTGTGGGCCCAGAAGAGATAATGCAATGATGCAGAAATGGTTGATACTGCTCTTAAATTGCAGATCGCTTGTCCTGTGCAAGAAACTAGAGGTGAATAAGGATAATAATTTTTGTCATTGTAATAGATTTTACAGAAGCAGTTCCTTCAAGATGATGTTTTTGTGATAAATTATGGCATTTCTCCTAAGTACTCCAAGTAATGACAGAACTGCATGGTTCCTCATTTCTGTGGTCGCAGGCAGCTGATCCAGAAATCATAACGCTTAATCACAGCACGTTGGAGAGCAGTATGTTCTGTTTGGTGAGGATGCGTTCCTGCTCTGCGTCTTAGATATGCGTTACATCAGCTGATTTTTTTTTTTCTTTCCCCCTTAGTTGACCAAAAACTCAATGTGTTACCGTAAATGACTTTCTAAATGTTGCAGTTTATGGTAGAACATAATTTCTTAGAGATGAGTCACCTTCACAGAGGATAAGAAATTCTATAATCTTTACTTTACTAATTTTATATAGATCCAGTGTTTTTTTTCCCAGTTTGCAGTTCTCTAGATGCATTCTCAGTAAAGACAGCAACATCTGACAAGAGAAGGGTACCTAGAGTGGTATTTGCCTGTGACACCTGCAATTACTGTGTTTGAGGTTGGTATGTGTGAATCTGCTTCCAAATGTGGGTATTATTTTCAATGCTTTGTAATGCAGCAAGCCATCAAAATCTCATTAGTAAGAAGTCACTCCTGTGCTTTCCTGTTTCAAACTCTCTTTTTAATAGAGATTACATTTCCTGTCATAATGTTCTTTAGTGAAGTTCATTTGAGGATCCTGTTCCCTTTATTTGCAGTACTTGAAATACACAGGGCTGCACCCTGAACTCACACGGGTATTGAGTTCAGAGCCACCTTTGTTGGCTTGAATGGAGCCAGCCTGCTTTTTGCAGTGCTGTGAGAGCACAGTCCCCTCTGCACTTTATTATTGCTGAAGGAGGTGAATACCACAGGATTGGGAGCAGGGGGGAGGAGTCCTTTTGTACAGTCCAACCTATTTTCAGCTGGACTGCTTTCAGGAGCCCTTCAGTTTTCAGAAAGTCTTAATCATTGTGTATGTCGTTCTCAGTAGGTTGAGAAACAAGGTGTATGCAGAAGAACCCTCCTTTTCCTGGCCAGATTGAGAGATAATTGCAATGCAAGCAGCAAAAATGCAGCTTGGTGCAGAAGGGGAAATGTGAAATGGTCATAGGCTTAGGAATTTTTTACTAATCCTGCATTTTGTATTTCTTGGAGAGGTGGTGAAGGACAACTACAGGCATATTTCTCCTCTCACCTGCATTGAAGTGCTCTTTGGATTTTATGGGGTTAAGCTTTTTCTGACATTTGTGTTTCTACCTGGAGTACACAGAGCTCAGCAAAGGCTGAACAGACTTAAATTTTTTTTTTCTTTAGTTTTTCCTCTTCTGCTTTTGATACTCCCTAGTAAAAATGGTCATTTTCTCTCTTTTTATATGTGACAAACGAGATTCTAAGCATACCTCTGGATTTGGTCTAGAGAGTCTTCCCTAAAGCCTGCTTCATCTGTCATCTTTTCCCCATCTTCATTAGCCAAGAGGAGCAGCATTTTAGGATTAAGAGAAGATAATAAATTTAAAAAGAAACTAACAATGAGCTACTGTAAAGTAGGTGTTGTAAACACTGCTGCTCTTAAGCGTGTTTTGAGAAGAACAGAAACAAAGGTCTTGTGAGATCTTATAGAAGTGATATTTGTGACAGCTCACGAGACAGTGATGAAATCTGCTGGATGAGGATCTTGAGGCTGTTGATGATGGAGTTTTACTGAAAATCACTCTCCTTTTAATCAAGTAACAAAGCTTCCCTAAGTCAGAGAAGCAGTTATTTCAAGTTGATGATATCTTTTCCCTTTATCTGTCACGCATAGTGAAAAAATTAGTGAATTTCAGAAAACAGGCAAAACTCTGGTTTTGGAAAGGAGGCAGGAAGCCTGAAGGATATGTAGCTCGGTTCTTTGACATCCACTGAAGGCTTTATTGGAGGAATGCTAAATCTCAATTTTCTGTTCTCTCTATGAGTATAGTGGTAGAAATTTGGAGCAAGGAGTGGAAAGAATGAAAGGTTACTTAGCAAGAAATTAGTAGGAAAGAACAGGGGTCACTGGAAAGCTATATAAAGATGGAAAAAGTGATCCAAGAGCTTGGAAGATGAGACAACTACATCTGACGTAAGGCATGTGGGGATGTATTCAAATGTGAAGCAGGCGTTTTAAGATAATGCTTTTTAAGAAGGAGGAATAATTTCCACAGTGGTATGCAAAGGCTGAGTTTAAATGAACAACACACAAAAACAAAACCCTAACATAACTGACTCGGAAAAGCATGTGGAGTGCAACTTTCCTACAACACTTATCTGTTCTTTCTTGGCTTGGTCAGTAAGTGTTGCCTTTGAAAAAGTGAACTGGAGTCCAGGAAAGTTACTAGCATTGTCTGTACAATTACACCATGGTCTCAATTTTAAAAATTGAGATTTGGGGTAATTTTTGGTGTATTTGTTGGACACTGAATACACTTAGCACGAGTGATTTTCCACTGTGACTTGCAGAATAAGAAGTGGTAGATGCAGAGAGCAGTAGGCATCTCTCCAAAATCCTTTGCGTGGTGGCTAATTTGTGGGTTGTGTTGTAGGTATCTGCCCTGACTGGGGAAGAAACCTGCAGTAGTCTTCATCTGGAATTTTTAAATGGGCTTAATTTCTTGCCCATTTACAGTTTTCTCCCAGGAGTTTGGTTTTCTTTGCTCAAAAGCATAGAAACATATGCAGAAACTGATTTAACCTCAATAAACATTATAGTTATGGAAATAACTTCATTCTGTTTTATCATCTGATGACACTTTACATGGCAATTCAGTATATTCACCTTCAGCAAATCTGTGCCTATCTGGCAAAAAAAATAAGTATGGTTAAAATAAATCAAGGGAAAGTATGTTATAATGTTTAAGTTCCTTTTCTTAACACAAAAGAAAAGTTCATTTGATCACTGAGCTGTAAATTAATAGTTGTTGAGGAAATAAGTATATCCTAAATTCCAGCAAGTAATTCTATGAATACTCTTCTCTGAGGTTTTTTTTTTCTTTTGATGTGGAAAAACAAACAAACCAACCAACATAAATGCGATTCCAATGCTCTGTAGGTGACCATCTTTCCTTGCAAAAGTGTACATGGTCTATGCGTTAGCCTTCTTGCTGTGTTCAGTTTGTTAGAATTATAGTTTGTGTGGTCGAGTGAATTGTTTTCCCGTTCTGGACCCAATTCCAATGTGCCCTTTGAAACTTCTCCTGCAAATCTGTTGTGAATGGTCATGTAAGCAAGTTGGGTTGTGCAAACTCCCGGGCAGGTTTTGCAGCAGCTGAGGGGCTTGGGTGTTGACTGTGTACCAAGTTCTCTTGTTAGTCTCAACATTTTTTATTTTTTTTTTCTTTCCTACTAGGAGCAAACGCCAGCATGACTAGGGTCTGAGGAAGTGCTTCTGTGTTCCTACCAAGGGTTTGTGGGTGCAGAGGAAGGGTGCAAGGACAGCAGGGACATTTTGAGCTACGATGGATATCCCCACTGATTTGGTGCCGTCCTCCATGATGTCACAACCTGAGATAATTGAGGTGAGTAGACCACGATGAAACTCTGGCAGCTGAACTAACTGAACCCCATTCTTATTTCCTCATTGAATCTTAGCTTTTTCTCCTGTCTCACTTCTCAGTCATCGAGGAAATTTGTCCTGAAATATTATATTACAGACATTCATAATTTGCTAAGAATGTTGTTATACTTTGAGACGTGACATTGATGTGTTGTGCTACTATTTGCATAAGAAAATATATGGCAAATTAACAATCTTTATGGACTCCATGTAGGTGGTCCCTTCACTATGGTTTGGTTCTTACTGTGCTTGATGAATACAAAGTAGAAGGTGGTCATAATGTGATTCAGTTGGGATAATACCACAGGAAATTTCAGGTTCAGTGTTTGATTGGAAAAGCTAAAGTTTTAAGCCAAAAGCAGCAATAAAATTAATAATATACTGACAATTACTAACACACTGATCTTTATTTCATTAATCAAAGTGTGTGTTTCAGACTTGATATTAAGTATTTATAAATACTTAAGTGATTTCTTCAGCTCCCTGTACTGGACACCAAGTACTTGCGTTTTCTGGTGAAGTAAATATTACAAATAGAAAAGGAGATGTTAATAATAGTCAAGCCTTCATCTCAGAAAAGCATTTTCAAAGTCCCTTTGACTTCATAGAGACCCAAGTGTCTGTTGCAACTTAAAACTTTTAAGGATGTATACTTTACTGAAGAGGGCACCACAGTTGATTAAGGTCAGTGTCAGAAAATTTGAGATCTAATGTTTATTTTGCTTTTTTGTTGTTTGCCATAGATTCTTTGGCTGAGGAGGCTGTGGCTTTTAGCAGTACGCACTGAGAAGTGCAGTAGTTCAGAGATCCCTGGATTCTCTGGTAGTTCAGAGATCCCTGGATTCTGTGAAGTTACAAAAAACATGTGCACTAATGAGTAGTGATGTGAAATGAGCTGAATCCAAAATCTGCTTTGGAGAATATTCTTTGTGTTCCTCTTCCTCCTGTGTTTCAAATGGAGAACTAGTATATTTTAAAAGTATTTTTGTTGCTTTTCAAGTCTCTGTCCCTGCTAGGGTCAGAGAAGGGTTGGTGTCTTTACAGCAGAATAGAATACCTGGTAGGAGGTGGATGCTGTACAGTTGTGTCCCAGGCTGCATGGCTCCCATTCTGTAGAAAGGCTCCCTCAGGCGATCTCCTCACATGCTCTGAAAGGCACTTGCACCCCTGTCTCTGTGGATTCTCTCTTCAGAGCCTCCTTTATGTATGATAAATTTGTGTATCTCAGCATTGCTGTTCAGGATAAATGCCTTCTCAAAGGGAAAATAAGGTCAACTGTGGTGCAAGAATGAGTGGAAGAAAAGCTCTCACTGGTAGAGGAATTGATGATTGGCATAGTCACCATTGTGTTGTACTTCCAGGTGAATAAATGCACATGTTCTGTGGCTGCAGAGCATTTCTGCTGAATAAATCCTGACCTGAACTTGCATCCCTAGACCAAAGACTAGAGATAAATGGATGATTCCGGTCATTGACTGCTAATCCAGACAATGACCCTCCACACTTGGGTTTTAGAGACTGTGCTTCAATGAGATTTGACTTTGGAGCCAAAAAGAAATGGCAAGCAGAAGCAAAGGAAAGACTGGTATCTCAGTGTGGGAGATTATGGTAGAAAAATACCATCCTTTAAACCTTGTGTTGTAAAAATAGACTTAAATTTGATATCCATATGGGCAGACTTACATGCATGCATGCATGAATTCCCAGAGATTTTAGTAAACCTGATGGTTGATAGAAGGCTTCAATTCTATGTAAAGGAGTAACAGATCCAAAAATCAGCTTTTCTGAGTGTGAGGAGAGCTTTTTAACAGGCAGAGACCTAGTGAGACACATAATTAAAGAGACAAATACTTAGATAAAAGTATTGAAGTAAAGCACTTTTCAGACTGGAACAGTGGGGGCTTGCCTTTCATGTTTGGGTTGACATACAAATGAATTTTGGATATAGTTTAGAAAACTCTATTCATTAAAATACTTTATTTATTTTTTTCTGGAGGACATTATTTTGCCTTTTAAAACTGAGCAGATGCCACAGTGTGCTGCAGAAGACATTTAAAGACTGCTTTCTTAAGGAAGAAGATTTTTTTAAAACTTGGAAGTAGCCTCGCATGCCTTCTGCATGAGCTAGATGGCATCTCAGTTACAAAAGAAGTGTTTTGCTACTTTACTTTAAACTTTCTTATCTTTAATCATTTTTTACCTTTTATCTTTAAACTTTCCTTTCACATTGCCAGGATAGTTGGTTTCCTTCAAATTTGGTCAGTTTAGTCTTTGAAATAAATATTATCTATTTTGTATACGTATGTATGTAAATGTATGTATGTGTATACATCTCAGTAATAAATATTCCTCTGCCTAGCATCAGTCCTTTAACTGCACAGGGCAAACAAAAATAGACTCTTATTTACCACAGTGGAGAATCACAGAGACCTCAGCAGGACCTTTTAAAATTTGAAGCCCACCCTGACAGGTTTTTTGCTTGGGCTTGAATCCTACAGATGCTCGTGGCAGCACCACTCTTCGTGCCCTTCCTATGCACTGACCTGTCCAAAGTGCTCTGCTCCCATCTTCTTTCTCTTCCCCAAACATCCTGTTACCAGATTGAAGGAGTGGTGATTAAAAGCATCTCGACATCTTGGTCATGTTTAAATGAGAAGGATAAACAAAGGTTCAGGGTACTTTATCTATCCATAGCTAAAATCTGGAATAGAAAATCATTCTGGGACACCATTCACAATATGTCAGAGAAGTCAGTGAAACAAAAAAATTCCAGAATGTGCTTTGAGTTTTTGGCTATGGGGTTTTATTGTAGGGCAGGACCTAGTGATTTCAGATTAGATAAGCCAATCTGCTCCTAGAGAGAAAAGAAAATGTAACAGAACCTTTTGATTTTTAAATTGGGAATATTTTGTGATACATGTGATGACTTCATACTTCAGCTATGTATATGCAAAATTATATCACCAAAACCTGATTAGTCTGATAATATAGTAAGCAGAAAGTTAAGTAATTCTGTAAGAAGCATTTAGCATCCCAGAGGGCTTTGCTGTTTGCAGAAAGCAAACATAAAAAGTGGTGGTCTAAATGGATTAACGTACTCTGTAGAGTGATTAGTATCTCCTCTCTTTGTGAATGGCATGAGATGAATTCTGCAGAACAAGCTTTGAAGAAGAAATGATTTGAGCTCCAGTTGCTTAATGAACCAGGGACTTTCAGCAGTGCTTCAGAAATGCTTGAAACAAGAAAACAACAAAAATTCATCATTCTCTCTTTGCTTTTGCCAGCAGTGGATCCTACCAGCCAAATACTAGAAGTAAATGAGTATATTTAAATAACTGCCATGCAGCTGTTCCAAAGAGAAATCCAGAGCAGTATCCATTATAGTGGCCTTTCATGGCTGTGTGGTTACAAGAGCCAAAAAACTCTTCTCCTACTCTATGCCATTGAATACTTCTCTATTTTCCCTTCTTTTTTTTTGAATTAGAGTGGAAGAGACTTAAACTAACCTTGCCACAGCATGGTCATCCTCCGTAGCTTTTTCCTCTTTACAGTGATGCTTGAGAACAGCCTCCTGTGGGGTGGCACAGCTGTTGTGACCACTTGCCCCAACAAAGCCCAACACGATTTGCATTTTGGATTTGGTGCCCAGATTTCTTCAGCCAACAAATGTGCTGATTTTATTTCTCCCCTTCTAGGCGAGTAAACAAATTAACCTCTTTACCAAAACAGACCTCTGGTGGTGGTAATTAAGGCAAACAAGAGAACAAAAGGAAATGTTAAGACTGAAAGAAACAATTTGTGATTAGAGGTATATCCACCCTGTTACAGGTACCATAGGGGAAACTTAAATATCTGTATGCTTTTTTTATTATTCTTATACTAGATGAGATTACCAGGGCTTCAAAATACATCTCCCTTTTGTTCAAAGCAGACTAATACTGCCTTACAGGCAGCTCTCAGTACTGTATGAACAAGGTACTGATAAGAGAACCCATTGTTGACAGAGCCCTGAGAAAGATTTTTCTGTATTCTGTTTATATATTTCACAAAGCAGTGCATCAAAGTAAAAGAAACCCAAATTGCCTATATACATATTTCAAGAAAAAAATGTATTTGCTGTGGTAAACACAGGATAGTCTTCTTATTGCCATTTGGAAATCTCAATTTCCAGCCCAAAGTGAAATTTGCTATGCTTATTAACAAAATTTTGAATTAGCATTTTGCTTGTAGGTTAAACTCTCCCGGGAGCTCACTCTGCTGGTTTGCTTGGTGAGGAGTGATGAAAGGTGTGCCCTGGAGGAGGAAGTAGACCTAATAGCCTACAGCATTTTTCCAGTATAAAAGGCCAGTCTTTCAGATGCTGGAGCCAAGATTTAATTCCCATCTTGGCTCACAGAGCACCAAACAGGACCCAAAGGATGCATGTTGCAATTCATTATGCATGGAAACTCACGTGGGATGTTAGAGGTGCAGGTTTGTTTTTTTTTTTTTTTTCCTACTGTTTCCTCCACCCTGATGGCTTCTAAAGTGACATGGATCGGGGACTGAGTGCTGAACCTCTCTCCGGAAAGATCTTTGTGGCACTGGGATTTTTGGGGAAGGACTGTCCTGTGCTGCACTCATCCTGCACAGCAGCCTGCAGGAACTAACAGCAGGTCAGATGTCTGGCTGCAAGGTTCAGGTTGAGGGTAGGACAAGTTGGCAACCAAGGAGCGAATGGGTGAGATAGTGGAGAAGCCCAGTCTGACTGTATCATGACACAGACTTTTTCTGAAGGCATGACAGGTAGCATATTCCAGTCACTAAATTAGCTGATGGAATATAATTGCCTTCCTGTGTTTCCCACAAAGCCAGGAAGTGTTGAGCCTATACCCATGTTTGGCTAATGTTTATGAAGCTCAGCTTGTCCTGAAAGCTCTCCTGGAAGAAAAAGAAGCTTGAAGAGCTTTGAAGAAACCCTTT